AAAAAATACTACCGTAGTATTAAAAATACTACGTCTGGAAACCCTGAATACTATGAATTTCTTGTTTTTCAGTGTTACCAACAAATATCGAAAGAAGAAGAAGAATTTAATTTTTATTTCAAAGTTTATGTAAAAAAATATTGATAAAAGGTGGACTTATTCACAATGGCTTCTGAAATTATTATACAATATATTCAGAAGCTATTAAAAAAAGGGCTGTCTAACCTAGAAAAAAGTAACCAACGAGTAAATCCTTTAATAACTAAGAAGATTATTACTTATTTCATCAAAATTTCCAAAAATCAGAAAATATCAAATAATGGACTTAACCGCATTGGCTTCTGAGCGGCTCAATTATTTCTTACAAAGTAGTCATTATAAATTAAATTTTTAGTGTCAAAAATATTTTTCTTCCAATATCAAAAAATGAAAGCACACAGTCCCAGTGCAAAATCTAAATTATCAGATTATACTATACAGCTTTATTATTTTTACGCAGATGAAACCAGTTTGCATTTGTTTACGTTCGTGTATCAATTGGGGTTAACATTGTAATGCAATACGTTAAAAACAAATACAAATAGGAAGTGTATAAAAAATTACCTGAATGAAAACCCATTACATGTATGTTTAAATAAAAAAGTATTGAATACAAACTCGCGCAAAACATGCAATTATTAAAACACTACAACGATTTTAATAATTCGGAGTAATTATTTTAATATACTAATATAATACCTGATATCATAAATATTCTATATTTATATAATGTATAATTTAAAATTTATTCAGTCATCGAATTTATATTATCTATCGTCTAACCCATCGCCAACATATCGTTTAACCCATTGATACACTAACGTAAACAAGTGCAAACCTGTTTCAGTCTCGTAAAAGCAATAAAGCTGTTTAGTTATCACCTGATAATTAAGATTTTACATAGAGTCTTAGAGTGCGTCTAATAATTTAGCCAAGAACTGTATGTGTTATCGCTGGAATCACTAATGCAAGAAACATGCGAATTAAATTAAAAAAATTACAAAACAGAATTTCTGAAAAATTCGAATCGTTGAGTGTTTAAGATAAAAATTTGCTGTAGTTTTAAGGAAACACCCAACAACATATTTAACATAGAGGTGCTTAAAGAAAGTATCAGGGTGCGTAGCAAGATTTTTCATCAAAAAATACCTTTTAAATACTTTTTAAGCACTTAAAAGATATTTTTAATCACTTTCAAAAAAAAAAAAAAAAAAAAAAAAACCTAATTAGGATCTGTGCTGTTATAAAAATTTTTTTTTCTCTATCGCTTAAAGTTCTTTAGTGATGAACATAAAATCGATAAAATTCAAAAACATTTTCACAAACTTCACATAATCATAATAAAATAACTAGTTTCTGATAGATATTGCTGAGAAGATTGTAAAAAATCATGCTTTTTTTTTGTAATTTAGAACAATTGACACGGCAAAGAAAAAAATCTCTTTTTAAAAGATAGAAAATTAAGCACTTTTTACAAATTCCGAAAAAAAAGCACCTTTAAGGGCTTTTGAAATATGTAAATCAAAAATAAGCACCTTTAAGTACTTTTTAAAAATCCTACGCACACTGTGTGTTCAATGAAGAGTGGAGTGGTTCACTGATACAGACTCCCAGACGTTTCAACCAGTTAACCAACTTTGTGCTATTTTACAGTTTTCCGTGTCTATACTCTTTTATGTTACCAAAAAGTTCATTAAACTACATCTGTTGAAATTTTAAAATCAGTTCACGCATTTATCATAAAAATAGTGGCCAGTATAATATATATATTTTTTTGGAGGGAGGGGGCTGAACTCCGACTGAAACCATGGTTTCAATCGGAGTTTGGATCGCATTCAGCGTAATCACTATTATTCAAATGGGACTTTAATAGTTTTAACTTCTTTAAACTAAAAAAAAAAAAAAAAATCCGATTGTAACCGTGGTTTCAGTCTGAGTTTGGATCGCATTTAGCGTAATCATTATTATTTAAATGGGACTTGAATAATAGTTTCAACTTCTTTAAACAAAAAAAAAAAAAAAAAAATCCGATTGTAACTGTGGTTTCAATCGGAGTTTGGATCGCATTCAGCGTAATCATTATTATTTACAGGGGTGATTGTGAGTCCAAGTCAAAATTCCGGAAAATTTCTTGAGTAAAAAAAAAAAAATATATATAAAAAAAAAGACGGTTTAAATTGAAAAAAATTTAAACAAGTTTTTTTTTCCTTTTTCTCAATATTTCTTAGTTTACTTAAAATATATTTAAAATTTTACACATACCTATGATGACCTGGAGAAGAAATTAAAATTTACAAATATGTCTGTATTTCTTAAGGTTATGATTATAACAACTATTTACTGATAAAACATGAATATTAATCAAGAATATAAGCTTATAAAGTATCTCTCTGGCTCTCCCTTACATACAAATAAAATAAACTGTGTTAAGTTCCACCTTTGAAAATTTGATTTCCGGAAACTTCTGTGATCAATGATTTTTTGAAACGTTTGGACCTTCGATCTCCGGAAACTTCCGGATCACTGTTAGCGAAAAATCCGGATTTTTTCCGGAGCACAATCAGCCCTGTATTTAAATGGGACTTGAATAATAGTTTTAACTTCTTTAAACTAAAAAAAAAAAAAAAACCCTTCCAACAAATACTTTCTGTANAAAAAAAAAAAATCCGATTGTAACCATGGTTTCAATCGGAGTTTGGATCTCATTCAGCGTAATCATTATTATTCAAATGGAACTTGAATAATAGTTTTAACTTCTTTAAACTAAAAAAAAAAAAAAAATCCGATTGTAACCATGGTTTCAATCGGAGTTTGGATCGCATTCAGCGTTATCACTATTATTCAAATGGGACTTGAATAATAGTTTTAACTTATTTAAACTAAAAAAGAAGAAAAAAACCCTTCCAACAAATACTTTCTGTAACGACCAAAAACAAAACCAGTCAGAAGAATAAAAAAAAAAGTATCTGCAAAAGGTGAAAAAGTTCAAAACAATAAGAACAAGCCGAACGACAACGAGATTTGGAAGAAACCCTAAAACAGAGTTGAGGAAGAATAAAAAAAAAAAGAAGTATGCGCGAAGTAAATTAGTTTGCTGCCAACCCAACCCTAGGTAGATAGAGAAGGTCAGACATTTGATGAATCGCTTTCTTCTCTCAGATTGGAGGAAAGGAAAAAGAAGTTGGCCATCCATCAAAAAAACATTTCCCTCTTGCTCCCTGTCTTTACATGGGAGCAACACAGAAATGGCCACAGTGGAAAAACCACTGGTGGGATTATGGTTGGGGTCACAGAAAAAGAAGTAACCCTTCCATGACGCCCTATCTTCATTAAGAAGTTGTCAATGAATCCCCTCCATTGTTTGGTTGCGTCAACAATGACCCCCATGTGAACGGCCTTATTTGGATTCGTCAATCGGTTTGGCATGAAGTTGTCACCGAGATGGAGTCATTAAGTCGATGAAATGTTTTATAAAATACCACTTTTCTGGGGTAGTTAATTAGAAAATGAGAGCAATCAAGGAAAAATGTCTTTTTCAGAGAGAGAACTTTTAATTGTTCGATTTTTGTGTTCTTATCCAAACTTCATTTGATTATGATGCGTGAAGACTTCCTGTTGACCGTATTTATTAAAACATTTATATTATCTGAATGCTGCTGCTGACATCATCCCCTTAGCCACAATTTTCTCTTGCCCCCAGATGGACACTAACTTGGCTATATATGAGTCCTATATGAACATGCACAGAAGGAGCGGTTTATGCAACTTTTTCGTCGTTTAATAATTTTAAAACAGTTACTAAATATTTTTGCCAAAATTTGTGACATAATAAGATAATAACGCAAACTTGAAAAAAAAAAAAAAAAAAAAAAAAAAAAAAAAAAAAAAAAAAAAAAAAACCGAAACGTTTCTGAATATATGGGCAACTTCGGTGTTTGTAGTTTTCTAAAACCTGCAGTATTTCAGGGATATTTTGTTGTTTTTATAGTTCTTTTACGTCGCACTAGAGCTGCGCAATAGGCTATTGGCGACGATCTGAGAAACATACCCGAGGACATGCCATCACAATTTTGATCCTCTGCAAAGGGGACGGCACCCCCCGCTTCGGTAGGCCGACGTCCTGCTCACGAAATCGAACACTTTACGGTAGACCAGTTTAACGAGGATCAATATCGCACACCCTCGGTCCCTTCGTAGACAGATTGGAAATTATTTTGTCGAGTCAAAATTAGTTTCTGAAATTTTTTACATTGTACAGTTACTTTATTATCCGATAAGGGGAAAATAATTTTAGTTATAAGCATTACATTTTGAATGATGATCAAAATCGAAAAATAAAATAATAGCAGAGAAATGTATTATGAAGGTACAGCAGTAAAGAGAAGAAAGAATAAACAATTTATTGGTAATTCTGATTATCTTCTTTGTATATCAACTATTATACAAATTGTTTTATTATGACGCATCTTGTGCAGTTTATAAGTTAGTCACAATTATTAAAATTACGAAATAAATTATGCATGTTGACTACATAATTAAATCGCATTTTGTTCGGAAGCAACAATAGGTTGATTGCTTACAGGTAAACAGTCGTTGTTTTATTAAATCTAAATTAACTCGAAGACTTATCTTATTGCTTAAACTATTTTCTTTTTTTTATTATTTCTTTTGACAATATATATATATAGTGAACTAATAGTAGGAATTGAACAAGTCATTCAGTTTAATTGAAAAAGTAAAATTACTCAGAAAGTGAATTATTTTATTTCTTGGATTGATAACCTGACGTAATAAATTCGGCAAACTAATTGCGTCATCTATAAGATAAACAGACGATCATTTTCTGTACGATTTTGCCTTACAAAAATATTCTTCTTTTGGCAGATTCGAACAGTCCAAATGACTTCAACTATGGACCCCATCCAGCTTTCTACGACTATTTTCCCAGTTCTCATCCTCAAGGTGGTATAACAGATTTTCCGGGAACTGTTCCCATAACTGCAGGAGGAAATAATACTCTCGAACATTCGAACACAATCAATAATGGTAAGTCATACTTGGTATGATTAAAGGAGTGTCAATATAATTTGGAATGTTTTTCCAAGATTAGAATGAAAACCTGGCCAAAATGAAAGGTTGAAAAATTACAATATTTTACATGAAAGAACATAACATTTCTTTTCCAATTGAAATCATTACGAAAGAAAATTCAGCTAAACGATTAGTCGGGACACACCTCAAAAGAAAAACTTTCTGCCGGGCGAAATAATAACTTAGAAAATAGTCAAACCCCGTTTTAACGAACCCATATTTACCGAATTCCGCGATTTAATGAATTTTATAAAGTTAATGAAGTAGATTTATTGCAAACAATGAATAACGACACAGAAGTCGATGATAATGAATCAATCTCCAGTGAAAACTGTTATTTTTTCTGATGCTTCGGAAATAATTAAAACTTAACCTAATGCAACACATTTCTTCTCTTCATGACGACGAAAAAGAAATTTTTTAAACTAAGAATTTAAGGAAACTAGAGGGCTCCGCCCCCTGCTCGCTGACGCTCGCCAACCCCCGGAGAATTGCTTCGCAATTCTTGCTTGGTTTGCTTCGCAAAACCAAGAATGCTTTGATTTCATATATTTCAATATTAAACTGAATATTAACTGTTATCATCGAAAAGAATTAATTTTCTTAAATGCAAAATAAGCAGTGTGTCAATATCAATGTCACTTTTTTTCGTTGACTACAGTTCCTTCAGCCAAAATTGTCAGAAATTAACATCAATGTGCAGATATAATCTTAATATGCACTATAAGTGGCAAACGCAAATGATGAATTGTATACACGGATATTTTGCCTNTTAACATCAATGTGCAGATATAATCTTAATATGAAACTTGTTTAAAAAAAATGATAATCACAATAATACAGACTTTGTCCCTAAGAAATGAATATATTTTTCACACATTTAATTCAATATAGATATATATGTATATATATATGCAAACACTATAATATTTTTCAATAAGCAATATTGTTAAGAACAGGGTAATTTTTAAAAAAATATTTTAATAATATTCAGCAAAATAACTAACAGAGCGCCCTTTTGCAGAAGCAAATCTCAAAGCTCCACAATAACTGCATTTTGAAAACATTTTGCCAAGACTATGTTTTGCCACTTTGATAGGTAACNTTCTCTTCATGACGACGAAAAAGAACTTTTTTAAACTAAGAATTTAAGGAAATAAGCAAACCTAACTCACGAAATACCTTAAAATGTCAAATGAATCAGCGCATAATCATTTTCTGTATTCCTGAATAAAAAGTGTAAGATTTCTATTTATTTTGTGTATTTGCTTATTAGAGATTTTTCGGATATTCCATAAGATTAGTTAATTTGTTTTATTTTGCCCCCGATATTACGAATTGTCCTCGATTTACCGAATAATATTTTCGGTCCCCGTGAATTCTTTAAATCCGGATCCGATTGTATAATATTCTACCCATCGCTGTTGCTGATGAAAATTTTCTAGATAATCCAAATTTAATTGTTTACGCTTAATAATTTTCTAAAGAAATCTTTGTAATTATTATTTTCGCCTCATTTTTCCTTCATTTAATTTCGAATTTTTGCAGCTGTAGTTATTGAATTAAAATCTATCAATCTTATCTATCTCAATGATTAAAAAGGCAAAGTTTAAATTAAATGCAGAATTCAATTATGAAAACATACAGAAAAGCTGGATATAACGAGGACGGCATATTGCGATGAATTCGCTTTTACACTAAATTTCCAAGTGACTCCTAACATGAAAGAAATTGTCTGTTTATAACGATGACTATAAATGATTCGCTATTTCGACATATATATAAGGTAAAAACATTCTACCGCTGTTTAGGATTAAATAAACGGTAGATATTTTTAAAAAATTCAATTCCTATTATTAGAGAAATATTCAATTCCTATTATTTAAAATTTAATTCCTATTATTATTATTCCTATTACACATTACTATATCTTGTTCACATTTTCAATCGTTCATTAAAATACTTTTTATATTCATGCATTCGAGTTCAAATACATTTTTTTGACACTTGATGTTGATACAGTTTTTTCAAATAATAATTCATTCATTAAATTTGATGAATTAATTTCAGTTTATATGAGAGAAAAAAATTGTCATTATTTATTAAAAAATTTACTGAAATAAAAACTTTCTTTGTTGACCAAAGTAGGAATTGACTATATTCGCGTAGAACATCGCTTCCTTCTGACGATTTTAATCTATTATTTTAATAAAGCAATACACGTACGACCACTGGGTAAGCTATGTTCGTCCCAACAAAAGAAAATTCACCGCGCACTTCAAAAGAATGCACCTTTTGTTGACTCTTATCATGCTCCCTTATTTCCCCAAAGTACTACAATTAAAATGAACATTTACTGTTGCCAATGGCGACAAGAGAAATTGCACTTCATTTTATTTTCTTATTACGAAAACTTTTTACGATTTGGAAACATTAAAACATTTCTGTAGTAGAAAAGTATGTCTTTTATGAAGCACAGAACTACGTCATTCAGTCTACTATCAGCAGACAGTCTCCTCTAGATAAATATTTTAAATCAAAATAGTTGTCCATTATAAAAGAAGTTCGTTTTAACGGACTTTCAATCGAGAAACACATCTATTTTTTAAGGACGGATTTGTGTCTACAATTATAAAGAGAATCCACAAAAATATACTCGAGCTTCTTCTTTTGCATTTTACTTGCTTCCGAAGTATACACTAAATTGAACGAAACCAATCTGACGAATAGTTAAGAAGATATAATAAAAGAGTTTTAGTTAGAAAAAAATTCAGCTGTTCTTGCTATCTTAACAAGTGAAGCATTGTTTCCCATGTATTTTTTCCCACGTTGAATCGAATGAGATGACACACAAGTCAATCGAACGAACATTTAAAAGGGTGTTTGTGTATAGGGTTTTGTAAAGGGTTTCTAACATAATCTGAATCATTATTAAGAAAATCAAAAGGTTTTATTTACTGAGCTGCAAGTATATAGAACTCATAAAATAAGTTAAAAAAAGTAGTGACGACATGGGAAAAGTTACAGAATAATGAAGAAAAAAAAGAGAAAAATAAAATTATTAATATAAAAATCAATAAAAATCCGGAAAAAAAGGATATAATCTCTACTACAACTCACACGATTATATCAGCAAAAAAGAGTGCTTTCTAATATTGTATCAATTTTAGCCAAAGCAAAATATATTAATACAATAGTGTCAGGAGCACTAAAAATATTTTTTGAAACAAAATAGAATAAAACGCATTTAAGTAATAAAAATCACGTAAAAAACAGAAAATAAAATGTTATAAAAAAAAAAAAACAGAATAAAACCAAAAANAAATAAATAAAAAATTGCACTTACGACAATTGTTTTATCAACGTCTTTGCATTTCACAGCTAAAGTTTCCTCTCACACTTTTCGACGTCCGACGTTCTCGGAAAGTTGTTGACATTGGATAAACAAAATAAACTCTGAGATTGTTTTAAAATTCGAAAAAATGTTTGTAGTAATAGAGGAAACTTCTATCTTCAAATTTCACACATTTTTAACATAATACTGAATAGCTAAACATAATACTGAATAGCAGCACTTGAAAAGTGCCAAATTCGAATTTGCACAAAGTAGCCCCATATGACGGTAAGTTTTATTTACTGAGCTGCAAGTATATAGAACTCATAAAATAAGTTAAAAAAGTAGTGACGACATGGAAAAAGTTACAGAATAATGAAAAAAAAAGATAAAAATAAAATTATTAATATGAAAATTAATAAAAATACGGAAAAAAAAGGATATAATCTCTACTACAACTCACACCATTATATCCGCAAAAAAGAGTGCTTTCTAATATTGTATCAATATAGCCAAAGCAAAATATATTAATACAATAGTGTCAGGAGCACTAAAAATATTTTTTGAAACAAAATAGAATAAAACGCATTTAAGTAATAAAAATCACGTAAAAAACAGAAAATAAAATGTTATGAAAAAAACAGAATAAAACATAAAACAAAATCTATAAAGCAAGTAGCGAATTCAAATGAACTTACATGAACGAACCTAATTAATATTTTACTAAAATGGCACATAGAAGTAAATATCCGTTTAAAAGCAAATATAATATACTACTTGGTTCTTGTAACACTGAAACAGTCAGGGGCCTAAAATGGATTAATGTTGTGAATTTTTTAAAATTATAATCCAGTTTATATAAATCTGTCAACCTAGAGTCAGTTTGACTTTCTTACACTAAGGTGTCCTTTAGTTTTCTAATGCACATGTACATACTTATAAGGTGTTCTGTGATTATAACCTTTAATATATATTTTTAGAATCTTTGTTAAAAAGAGCAGTTCGCATACATTACGTAAGCCTTTTGGGTAATTTTGGACACCAGTTTGATCGCCTGGGGAAACTTGGAAAAGTTTCTAAGTAAACACCTTCCTTCGGTTTCTTACGACAATCAAACATGTTTTGATGCTTTGAACTTCATCTCTCTCAGTATGGATTCGATAGCTTTATCATTCTTTCCTAGCTTAAATATTAGTTTGAGGCCCCTAATGAGCCTATTTGTAACAGAGATTCAAAAGAAAAAAAAAGACATTAAGGGTAGTTATTAAGGAACACTCACGTATCTACATCAACAAAACGAATTCATTTTAATTATTATTTTTTACAGGTGTGACACCAGTGGAGGCTTCTTACATGAACAATAATCCTGATTGTTTAGGTTCCAGATCAAGTCCGGAGAACCCGCTGAGCAACCTACAAGAAGTGAGCTACAGTTCGAACGGCAGACCACAGCAACGACCGCCAGATGGCACACCATTCGCACCATTTATGCCCAATCATATCCCTCCTCACATGAACGATACAAGAGTTTGGTAAATTATATTTGTTAGTGGAAGTAGGACTGTTTTGTTAAGAAGCTTTTATTGACTGTTTGATTTCAGTTAGTTGACGTCCACTCGCACTGAGGTTGTGTTTGAATATATTGTAAATAAATATTGTAAAAAGAATTAATCGTGTGAATGCCGATCAATAAAATGTCTGTGGCAGTTATTTAATGAGTTTCATAATAATTTTTGCTGTCATTTGCTTTTATATTTTGTTAGTTGGCAAATCTTGCGACATGACTAAGTATCTTCATTTTTATTAGATTTCCTGTTGAACATAAAAGTCTTTCTCTTCATTATCGCGCGCCCCTAGACCGCTAGATATGGGAATTTAAGAGGAAAAAAATGGAGAATAAAATATGTGATAAGTATGCCTACTCTTACTTTTAAGATCCAGTGTGTCAAAATATTGAAAGGAGAAAAAAAAAAAATGATCCCCCCAAGGGAGTGGTTAACCTCCAAAAAAAGAATTTGCAGTCGCCATAATGATGTTTAACACAACCGCTCTGTGTTGGGGATTCTGCTCACGTTCCATGGAATTGACTCCCATTACTAAATTCACCGATGATTTATACATCAAATCGATCACTTGTAAAGTCATGTGTATCGAATTCCACACACTCCTAGCCCAAGCGTCTTTCACTTCAATGTCCAATAAAACGAGAAAGGGCGTGGCTACTTCAGTAGCTCCGCCTCCATTTGTCAAGCGTCAAATGAGAGTAGAATTCCACAACGGGACAGAGGGTATAAATTGGAAAGGCGGAGACAGTTTTATTTTCGATTACCGAAAGAATGGCAAAGGAATACAGCAAGTTTATTTATTTACTTATTTTTATGTACATTTTGGGCTCCAATCTTCTCAGTAAAATACCTAAAAGAAAAAAATAATAATAATTTTTTTTTCTTTATATTTATTTTATGAAATGTACAAAATAATCTAAATATTTGAGGAAAAATATAAAAGTTTAGAATAGATTCGAATTAAACATTAAGATAAAAATACAGTCGAACTTTTATTAATTAACGAACTTTACTATTTATTACTTAAAATTTAACGAACTTCCATTTAGCGAATTTCTCTATTTTGAGATTTTTTTTCTAGAGGAACTGAGAACATTTCGAAAATTTCTATGTAAAATAACTTCCAAATAGCGAAGTGAATTTAAAGAACTTTTGTTTGGGATCCACTTTCCCTATTTCCCAAAATATTTCAGAACATTTCAAACTTGTTAACGCATTTTATAGGGTAAATTGATTTTCGAAGCCACTTACTTTTAGAGAAAGCAGCAAAATCCCTTTTCTTCCTTGTTTGCATTTCAAACGGAAAAAATTAACGGATTTTTATCAGTAGCAATGAAACTTAAGAATACTTTTATAATAAATGCTATACAAAAATTTAGCTTTTTTTAGTGGAAAATGTCTGTAGCATGATAGTGTAACACTGGATAATATTTTGCTCTGATAATACGAAGAATTGATAATACGAAGATTAATCAAATAAATAGTAGATACTAGTTTACAAGATAAAAGTGTATCCATTGCTATTTTAATTATATCTTGTGTTTATGAATTTAAAACCTGTTTTTTATTGTTTAAGTATTTGAAAAGGTGATTTTTTATTTAACGAATTTTCCATTTTACGAACTTATTATTGAGATTTAGCGACTTCGTTATATAGAGGTCCGACTGTACTTCATTTAATTGAAAATTTATTAAGTGTATATAAAGAGAAATTCAACAAGTTGGCTGTCTGTCTGACAGATTATCCAAAGAGAGTCGGTTGCGAATTATATTTTTCAGTGGTAATGAGCTAAAGTTAAATTTTTAAAAATAACTTTTTTAACAGAAAAAAAAATAGAACTTAGGCATTTGTCTATATGACCCTGCAGGGTGCGTAACCAAGTCTTTCATCAAAAAAAGCTCTTTTTAAGCATTAACATTTTTTTAAGCACTATATACATTAACGAAAAAAATAAATAAATAAATTTAAAAAAAAAAGCTGCCACCGATTAGCACTTGAACTNAAAAAAAAAAAAAAAAAAAAAAAACATTTCATAGATTTTACATGATCATAATAATTCTGACTAGTTTCTGACAAAGAACTCTTTTCTTGATTATATTAGCCACCGTAAAAAGATTGAGAGATTTTTNAAAAAAAAAAAAAAAAAAAAAATTTCGATTTCAGAAGGTGGTAAGTGAAGCTTGAAATCGAGAATATCTTGCAAAATGTAGTAGAGTTGCACATGAGAGTGCTATAATCTCATCGAATCCATCTCTATAGACGTACATGCGGATTTGCAAATATTTCATCAAACATGCAAAATGATGGGAGCTTGTATACGCTACGCACCGTCAGTACGCCGAAATGGATTGTGGTGGAATGGGTTTTGAAAACGTTGAATAGAGGAATGTGAAAACCATACTTTTGCATAATACGTGAAGAAAATCGACACGGTAAAGGAAAAAAAAAAAAAAAATCTCATTTTCAAAAAAGGAATATTATACATTTTTTTTAAAATCTTCAATGAAAAGAGGCACCTTTATGGGTTTTTAAAAAAAATGAAAATCGAAAATAAGCACTTTTTAAAAACGATATACAACATGTCCTATACATGCATCTTGTGTTTAGTGGTGGATTTTAATCTATTAAAATACAAATACGCTACCCTTGCTATCACTAAAAAAATTATTTCTATAGCTATGAGTAATTCGTAATACGTGTCCATCAATACTTCTCGTGTTTAATGAAAGGAAAAAAAAAGAGAAAAAAACCCCTTATAATTATACATTTTATGTGTAAGTGGTAAGGGCATTTGTTCTAAATGAACGAATATGGAGCATTTTGCAGGAATTCTACACATCTCTTTTTTTTTCTTCCAAAAAATAGAATAAATAAATAAACAAAGAAAGCCACTAACTTAATGGTAAATTTAAGACTAGGAGTAAACAATGATTCGTATAAATTTCTTTATATCGATTGAGGAAGCTGATAATTGAAATTATCCAAAAATGTTTATCACATTTTTTCCCCTAAAAATATAACGGCAGTTTTTTTGTCACTACAAAATATTACACCCCTTTAGCAAGAAGATTGATAAAAGCTCCCTCCCCTCTCTCTAGGGAATCACTTAAAAATCGTCAGAATAATCCCGCTAACTTATTCAGATAACATCACAGTCACGAAATGCCAATGCGGGGCGTAGCCAAATCTTTCAACAAAAAATAAGCACCTTTTAAGCACTCAAAAAATATTTTTAAGCACTATATTCATTAACAAAATGCAAAACAATTTTCAAAGACTTTGCTTGATCATGATAAAATAACTAGAATTGGACAAAGGAACTCTTTTCTTGATTATATTAGCCATTAAAAAATGATCAAGAGATTTTTCGGTTCGATTTCAGAGGGTGGAAAATGAAGCTTGAAATTGAGAATATGTTGTAAAATGCAGGAGAGTTGTACACGAGAGTGCAAAAATCTCACCGAACCCAGATCACAATACTCACATGCAGACTCGCAAGTATTTCACCAAACCTGTAAAATGATTGGCTCTTTCATACGCTATGATCTGAAGGGTACGCTAAAATTGATCGTGTCTGAATGAATTGTGAAAAGTACGTTTTTACATAATGGCGAAAATCGACATTCCCTTTTAAAAACCTCATTTTCTTAAAAGGAAAATTAAGCAATTTTTAAAAACACTCAATAAAAAAAGCACCTTTAAGAACTTTTATAAACGCTAAGTACCATGCAACGAAAGTCGTTAAATTTTTAACACAAATCGAACGAGGGGGGGGGGAACTAATTGATATTTTGCAAGAAGCAATTTTAGTGAAATGAAGAATTTTTTTCCAAAATGTTCAGAATTGTGACATTATAAGAATTGAATGGCGCATCCTACAGATTGAGTATTTCCTCTATTCAAGATTTGATTTTGTAAGAAAAAATGCGATATAGGATTTACAAAATATTTTCAAGGAAATGCGATAAAGGATTTACAAAATGCGATGAAGGAAATAATTAGTGGGTTTTTCTCCCCAACTAAATGAGAGACTATCACCCTGACGAAGTCGCTAAATCCCAATAATAAGTTCGCTATATGGAAAATTGGTTAAATAGAAAAACACCTTTTGAAAACACTTAAACACCACAAAACAGGTTTTAAATTCATAAACACTAGACACAATTAAAATAGCAATGGATACACATTTATCTCGTAAACTAGTATCTACTATTCATTTTATGAATCTTATCCCTAAAAGAAATCTGCATAGAAGCCAAGAATAGAGCAAAACATTATCCAGTGTTACACTATCACGCTGCATACATTTTCAACTAAAAAAAGCTAAATTTATGTATAAAATTATAGGCTGCATTTATTATAAAAGTAATTTTAAACATATATTACCACATGAGTTCTTAAGTTTAATGGCTACTGATAAAATACGCTAATTTTGTCCAAGTTTTTCGTTTGAAATGCAAACAAAAAAGGAAAGGGAATTTACTACTTTCTCTAAAAGTTAAGTGGCTTCGAAAATCAATTCCCCCAACATTTTCCCCATCATAGGTGGTAACAAGTTTGAAACAATCTCAAATATTTTGGGAAACAGGAAAGTGGATCTCAAAGAAAAGTTCGTTAAATAGAAAATTCACTTCGCTATTTGGTAGTTATTTTACGAAGATATTTCCAACATGTTCTGGGTTCCTCGAAAAAAATTGCGAAATAGAGAAATTGCAAAATGGAAGTTCGTTAAATAAAAGTCCGCCTGTATTACAAATGAAATAAAAATAATTATATGGATTTTTTTTAATCACAGCGCTTTTATTAATTCAATTAGTAACATACATATTTGTTATTATTGAAAGTATCTTGTAGAAAGATATTAGTGCTAGAGACTTTTGTCGCAGAAAGCCCGTAAAAATTCAACCACATGGCTCCCTTCTAATCCGTTAAGTGAAATCATATAATCTTACTTCTTAAACTTGAAAACTGTGGTCAACTTGAACAATAAAAAATAATAAGCCAGAATAATGTACACACCTATTATTACTTTTCGTCTCTCCTATTGTCTCAATTTTTTTTCCACTAAAAAAAAAAAAAAAAAAAAAAAAAAAAAAAAAANAATTTCCAAAATGTTCTGGGTTTCTCGAAAAAAATCGCGAAATAGGGAAATTGCAAAACGGAAGTTCGTTAAATAAAAGTCCGCCTGTATTACAAATGAAATAAAAATAAATATATGATTTTTTTTTTTAAAATCACAGCGCTTTTATTAATTCAATTGGTAACATACATATTTGTTATTATTGAAAGTATCTTGCAGAAAGATATTAGTGCTAGAGATTTTTGTAGCAGAAAGCTCGTAAAAATTCAGCCACATGGCTCCCTTCTAATCCGTTAAGTGAAATCATATAATCTTACTTCTTAAACTTGAAAACTGTGATCAACTTGAACAATAAAAAATAATAAGCCAGAATAATTGACTCACCTTTTATTAGTTTTCGTCTCTCCGATTGTCTCAATTTTTTTCCACCAAAAAAAAAAATTTTTTTTTTCTTCTTCTTGTGTAAGGAGTATTATTCCCATCTGCAGCAGAATTTTTACGGACTTTCTGTGACAAAACTCCCTAGCACTAACACCTTTCTGCAAGATACTTTCAATAATAATAAATATATGTATGTTACTAAATTTAAAGTGATAAAAACGCTGTATTTTTTTTAAAAAAAACCATCTAATTATTTTAATTGAATATATAATTTTTATTTTATTTTAATATTATGGGTGATATTCTCGCATTTAATTGGGGAGAAAAACGCACTAATTATTTCCTTTATCGCATTTTGTAAATCATTATCACATTAAAAAAAATAAATAATTAAAAATCATGAAATCCATAGCAGTCAGATGGACGACAAAATAACGCGAATCGGACTCTTCAAAAAGGGGTTACTCAAATGCTCGTTCGTTTCCAGATTTGATTGTTGTAATAAGTAATATCGGAATTTAAAAACTATATGGAAATCAAAAGCAATAATTGTCAGAAAAAAAAATTCCCATATAGACTGAAATGTATCGGGATAATTAAAAACCACGTTAAAATCAATAACTGCCCGAAAATACAATCGAAACACTAAAATTGAACGTGACAAAAAATTATTATTTAAATGTGCGATTCAAATTTTACGTGTAAATTTCTGCTAAAAAGAAAACAAATTTTTTTTTTCCTTCCCAAAAGAAAAATCTTTCTGCAAGAACTCCGTAACTTTCCGCGACAATGTCGCCGCGATTCTGCCACACTGTTCGAAATTTTTCGGAAAAGTGGTTAAATAACAATTTATTGAATGGTTATTTTACCATAATTAATCAAAGCAGTCAAACAACCATAAATAAAATGGTAATCAAGTTTGAGAAAAACTGTTTATTAACTGCTTTCACCTGATACGGTTAAACAACCAGAACTTAGCTCTTTGCAACTGAGTACACATCATAGTCGAGCGGGCTTTATCTGTTAATCTCATGACCGGTGTTGACACCACACTATTTCCTCCATTCCCTTCAACACATGAAGAATTTCCAGTGTCCGACACTCTCCAATGCCCAATACCTTACGAAAATCTGAGCTCTTATGTCTAGTTAAATAATTAATTATTTTTATTTTACGTTTTTGAAAATGTTAGTTGTAAATGGTTTCAAAACCATAAAAGAAAAAAAAAATGTTCTTTACTGTAAACTTTACGGTTAATCGGAAGGACGGACAGCTGCCAGTTATTTTACCATAATTTTAGAATGAAAATTTTAACAGTGCACGGGGCCTATCTTATTGCCCTTTATGAAACATAATTTTGAGGTACTATCTTGCAGAATCCTTTGTCAAACGTACATTCGTGAATGATTCACATTTCGTGAACATAAAAATAAAAAAAACAACATATTTTCGGAAGGGACTAGAGTGTGCAGGGAAAAATAAATATTTTGTAAAGAATATATTAAAAACTGTTTTAAAAAAGATTGGTGAAAGAACAAAGTGCCTCTGTATTTCTCATTTCGGGAACCAATGTATGGCCCAGGGGTGGAGGCGTGTTCGAACGGTCAAGCTCCGAGAAGAATCTGACTGATTTATTGAGCCTCGCTTCTAATAGATGCCGCAACAGTTAATGAAGAAACGCCCACTATGTGTGTTCGGACGATTGCTTCTCTCTCTTTTTTTTATTTTTTTAGTTTTGTTTTTAATTTTGAATTCTAAGGAGGGAGAGATGTTTTAGGTCCTATCAACCATCTGCCAGAGAGAGAGTTTGTTCTGGACTAGTTTTGAAGTCGTTTACGATAAAGAGAAGTCATTTGAAGTTGTGGGCTATTCGCTGGACATCTTTTCTAAGAACCGAAGTTGCGACATCCCCAAGCAATGAAGGCTGGTAGAAGGCCTCCTCGAGTTTGAAAAACATTTCCGCCAAAAGAAGAATTTTTTTCTTATTTATTTTTTTTTAAAGAAAAAAAAAATCTATTTTGAGAAAGCTCGTCTTTTTTGTTGGTAAGTAAGTAGTCATACTAATTACATTAACATTGCATCATCAAGTATTCGGATCAAAAGTTATCGAAGAATACACTTTAAGAACACGTAATCACGTGCACTAATATTTCCATCCAGTCTGGCTAAAAATAAATTTTTTTTGTTGTTGTCTAATGAGATGTCCACACTTTTGGAAGACGTAATCAGGTTATCAATTTTTTCCATCCTGGCAGTTTGGCCACAAATACGTTTTTGGTGTTTAATTAGATGTCCACACTTTTATAAACATTAATTTTTCCTGTATTTTTCCGCTACTTCAACACCTCCAAAAATACTTGTTGAAAAAGACAATCAAAAATTCTATTTTTCTGTTTTTATTTATTTATTTACTTTTTTATTATTTTTTTATTATTTTTTTTATTTTTTATGATTGCAACTATGGAATTTCCGTAACATCAGAAAATACTTTTATCCAGGGTGCGTAGCCAAATCTTTCAAGAAAAAATAAGCACTTTTTAAATACTTTTCAAGAATTCAAAAAATATTTTTAACATTAACAAAAGGCAAAATAATTTTTTAAGACTTTATATGATCATGATAAAATAACTAGTTTCTGACAAAGAACTCTTTTCTTGATTATATTAACCATTATAAAATGATTCAGAGGGTGAAAAATGAAGTCTGAAATGGAGAATATCTTGCAAAATGCAGCAGAGTTGCATATGAGAGTGCAAGAATCTCACCAAACCCAACTCAGTAGACGCACATGCGGATTCGGAAGTATTTCATCAAACATATAAAATGATTGGCGCTTTCATACGCTAAGGACCGACAGTATGCCGAAATGAATTGTGTTTGAATGAGTTGTGAAAACGTTGAATAGAACAATGTGAAAATCACGCTTTTGCACGATACGTGGACAGAATTGACATGGTAAAGAAAAAAAAAATTTCATTTTCGAAAAGGGAAAACTAAACACTTTTTAAATACACCCATTAAAAAAAAAGCACTTTTAAAAAACAAAAATCAAAAATAAGCCCCCTTTAAGCACTTTTAAAAACGCTACGCACCATATCTATTTAGAGAAAGCTCGTCTTTTTTGTTGGTAACTAAAGTCATACTAATTACATTAACATTGCATCATCTAGTATTCGGATCAAAAGAATGCACTTTTAGAAGACGTAATCACGTGTAGTAATCTTTCCAGACGACAAATACGTTTTTTGTTGTCTAATTAGATGTCCACACTTTTATAAACATTAATTATGTCTGGGTTTTTTCCGCTTACTTAAACATCTTTAAAAATATTTGTTAAAAAAGAAAATCAAAAATTCTATTTTTCTGTCAACCTCCAACTGCTATGGCATTTCCGTAATTTCAGAAAATATTTTTATCAAACTAAGGTAATTTATTAATATTTTAATAAATTAGAAAGCATAGAATTTTGTTCACCACTACGTGTGAAGAGGTAGATATATCAATGGTTAACTCTAGAAAGACTGAAACTTAGTACATACCTATATTGCCCAAAAGCAGTCAAAATGACTGCATTGTGAAAAAATAACAAATATGTAATGAAATTTGTTTAAAATTAATTTTTAATATTTTTTAATTTTATTTACAGATATATAACAAGTTATTAGTAAATATCAACAATAAAATGATAAAAGTAGCAAAATTCTAAGAAATTGTGTCATTATATACATCATATGCTTTTCTAATTGAAATTAAAAAGTAGTCAAAATGACTTCCTTGGGCAATCTAGTGTTAATTTCATAAAAAATTCTGTTTTTTTATTTTCCTTTTTTTTTTTTTTTTTAAAAATTAATCAAAATATATTTTTCACAAATTTTAATTGTTAGAAGAGAGTACGGTCAATGCCATAAAATGGTATAGTATGGACTACACTGAGCCAAACTTAAACGGGAAACAAACTTTACAAAAAGCGAATCGTACTTACTTTATTCTGAGTCCAGAGATTCATTACGTGCTGCAGCCATTACTACATCTTCTTTGAGACGACCTTTTTTCACTTTTTTCATCGGCTCACCTAAGGATTTAAAAAAAAAAATAAATAAATAAAAAACAATATATTTATATATATATAGGTATACATAAGTTAGAAGTATAGAGAAAATATGGAAAATAATAAAGACTAATAAAAAGAGAAGAAAAATATTTTTTTTTTATTCATTTATAAAAAAATTAATATTAAAAAGCCAGAAAACAAAATATTGAAAAGATAAAATCCCTTCATCAGCTCACACTATAATATCCACAAGAAGGAGTGCTTTCTTATTTTGTATCAATATAGCCAAAGTAAAATATATCAATACAATAGTATCAATATGAGGAGCACTAAAAAAATTTAAATGGAAATAAAACATCAAGCAAGAAACAGAAAATAAAATGCAAAGAAACTACAGAATAAAACACAAAACGTAATCTCTAAAGCGAGAAGCGAATTCCAATGAACTTCAAGAATGATTTAAAAATATTTTCGTAATAAGATTACCAGATTACAAAACATGAAAACAGAAGCATAAATAGAGGGATTAGTTATGACGCTTTCCTACTGCAGTACTGAGGCACGTTATATTTGTTAATTACCTTGTATTGGCCCGAAAATGGATGTATGCAAGATAAGAATATTATACAGGATAATTTAAAGTTTATAATTAATAAGGTTGATGTTTAATTTTACAATTGTAATGATTTTAGAATATATATATTATTGAGTATTACGTCATTTCCAAGTATAACCAAGAGCTTGACAGCTGTTATTAAAGGTGAAACACCAGGGACCAGCTGTACTCAAAGTAGGGAAAAGAGAGCAATTGTCCTAGGGCCGACAGATTTATCCAGCAAAAACTGTCGTGGTTTTTAATTAATTATTTTTTTTAAAAAAGAAAACGGACGAGAATTTCTTCATGGAAACTACAATTTTAAAAAATCAGAAAATAAGACTTTAGAGGCACACAATAGAAATAATCCTCATAAAACCGAGCATTAATTATTTTAACATTGCAACGGTAAAATCTTCCGAAATGAATATTTTTAATCCAACCCCCATTACGTATTCGATGAGAGTGATGGTATACAGTATGTGCACCATTAGAAGAACAGAACAGGAAACGAAAAAAATTTTAAGCACATTTTGGACAGTAAAAAACGTTAATAATAATAATAGCAATAAAAAATAATAAAAAAATAAAACTTTTTTAAAAATTTGATTTCTCAGGAGCCCGATTTCATTTAAATTTTTTATTTTGCTATGTAAAATCACATACTTTAAAAAAATGTAAAAAAAATTCTTAAAATATAAAATCTTTGCGACTATTATTATATAAAATAATAAAAAAACAATAAGTATAAAGATTTAGTAAAGGTTATTTTTTGAATGGAATTATGTTTGGACAAACAGATTTTATAATTGAGTGTAAAATATTTCAATTCGCTTAAAAAGTTCTCGAGATATGGTGAAATACGCATAAAAATAAAATTAATATTAATGAGTCCAAATACTGGGACTAAATATCCCAAATTACGGCTTTCATTTGGAGAGTCAGAAATCCTCCGGAAAAAGAGACGCATGTTTACTCAGAACGTCTTTGTGTCTGATTAACTCAAACCAATTTAAAGGTCAAACCATTAAGATTGAGTTACTTTTTTTATATTTTATAACCGTCGTTGAACAGCAAGCCAAATTTTTGAGTTTACACTTACTCATGTTCAACTCCGTAGCCTTGTCATTTTGAACCCAATCCAGAAGACAATGGGGAGTCCTGGATCAAGTAGTGGGAGAAATTTGCCTTCGTAGATGACTTTTTGATGGAACCAGGGACTAATATAGGGCTGCCTTTATATCTATGGAGGGAGCTAACCCGCATTTGCGTGACATGGAGAGGAAGACCACGAGAACCACTCACAGTTACCCTGACGACAAGGGGACTCTATACCGTGATCCGCTGATGATCTACCACTCTACCACTGATGATATTTCACGTCAGCACTGTGATCGGTGCAAGCCGGATGCGGAATACGTATCGACCAGTTATCGCTGGGATTCGAACCTGGGTTTACCTCATTGAAAGGCGAACGCTCTATCCCCTGAGCCATCACGGCACGACTTAAAAATTAACACTCAACATACTGCAGTACTGGCATTAGCACCATCTGTTGAGGAGTAAGAGAAGTATTTTTGCTATCAGTAAATATTTTATCACCATTTTTTTTCTTTTAAATTTCTTCAACAAATACGGAGAAAATTGAGAACATACAGGTAAACAAGAGACAGTCGTAAAATACACGAGTATTCGTCAAAAATCTTGGCGGGTATGTACATTATATAATAACAACATTCATTTATTTTGACGCAGATAAAGGCTACTAATATTTGTTTTTGAAATAAAAGAAGGCGCTTTGTTTCCGGAGGTCTCTGCAAAATAGACGACAAATAAAAACGCCAAAAAAGGACGAACGTTATGACGCGTTTAAATGAGTGTCATTGGAACCTTGTCGCGAATGCCCTAATTCATATAAGCAACTCAAACCCTACCAAAAACTTTCCACATCTACAGTTTAAAAACTGAAATAGACTGGGGATGTCGGGTAAATCGATCGACTGAAAAGCAGTTTGGAGTGAAGGGGTCATTAGTCTAACAAGGTGTGCTATTCATTTGACACAAGTGTGGAAAATGCATTCTAGAACTGCTGGGATCGCATACCGAAGAGAGAGGAGGTGTCCCGTGAAGCGATAAATTCCTATTTAACACCTTGGCAACGGTTGTGATGGAGAACAATAGGAGAGAGCGTGTCGGAAACAGGATATACCTAATCAGATGAACAAAATGGGCAACAATGGACTCCTTTCGGGAAACTTTTGTTTTAAACAGATTTCTAAATACTGAAAGGACCCTTTTAAATATAGATCTACGGCGGAATTGTTAAGTAAAAATTAGTAAAGCATAAAAAGGACTTTGAAATCTCTAAAGGAGGGCAGGCTTTCGCCACTGGTGATCCAATAAAAAGTTGCGTTTAGAAAACATTCTTTCAGCAATTGAAATTTCTGTTTTTTTTCTCCCTTCCCTAAACTTTAAATTATTTCTGCTGATGAAAGGGAATTTGCCATGAAGGGTTTCTTGTCCTATATACAGCCCATGGCCAAATTACTAGACGCACTATAAGATTCTATGTAAAATCCTAATTATCACGTGATACTATACGTCTTTACTGTTTTAACGCGGCTGAACTTGGTTTGCACTTGGTTACGTTCGTGTGTATCATATTGATTAACATTTCCATGCAATACGTTAAAAATAAGAAGTATATAAGAAATCTCCTCAATAAAAACGCATTACATGTATGTTTAAATATGAAAGTATTGCATACAAACTCGTGCAAAACATGTCATTATTAAAACACTACAGTGCGTCTAATAATTTGATGTAATTATNATGAAGAAAAAAATTTTTTTTTTTAAAAATGGCGCGAAAATTTATCGAATTTTGTTCCGGTTTTTTGGTTTTCCGGTTTTCTGATTTCCGGATAACGGGTTCTGTACTGTACCTGATAAAATAAATATTCTATATTTACGTAATATATCGTCCAATTCATCCAATCGACGAATTTATATTATATATCGTCTAATTTAAAAAATTGCTACACGAACGTAAACAAGTGCAAACCGGTTTCAGTCCTGTAAAGACAAAAAAGCTGTATAGTATCATCTGATAATTAAGATTTTACATAAAATCTTTATGCGTCTAATAATTTGGACATGGACTGTAAGACCGTCCATTTTATCGCAAAAGCTTCCAATCATTATATCCTCATTCCTTTACAGACTTGCAGGTTTGACCGCAAAACTTTGACTGGCTGAAAATAAATATGTTACGGTAAATGTGATTCATCCGGTGATAATATACATTAACCGGTAATTATGCATAATTACTACTAAATTTGGTAAATATGATACATTTTTGAAAATGTATCAAATTAACCGGTTTGTTTGCATAATTCCCAACTCGTAATGGTAACTGTGATACAAGTTAACATTACTTTACGGAAATTCGTTCAGTTTGAGCAACTGCTTGGCTTGTGAAGAAAATGTAATTGAATTAAATGTAAGAGAATTTGTGATGAAAGATTTATTGTGCTTGACGATGTTCCAGATCTAGCAATATCATCACTTCGAGAATGAGTTAGAAACACATCTCTTTCTGGAGGTCAGGGATATCAGTCTGATGCATCGGACAATGCGCGTCTGATAAGGGCAATCTGGAAAGCTTTGTAATTCTAAATGTCATAACAGTCTAACATGCTTAAATAAGTGAACTTAAAATAATTACTAATTTGTAGTCATAGCATTTAAAGATATTTGAAATTTTTTTTACCTTCCTCTAGACTATGGACTGTTATGGATGTTGAAATATGGATGTTTTTAACATGTAACTGCAGTCTCTTTTTTTTTTCTTTTCCTATGTGCAACTGCTTTGTACAAGTTCATGAGAATTGTATTGTTTTCACTTCACAACACCTGTCACTCCCTTATTCAAATTTCGTTCTGGCTAAATAAATGTATGTGACTTAAAATAACCATTTATTGACTTTATTGAAATAACCATTATTATTATCGTGGTCTCTTATGCCATAGTGTCCAACGAAAAAATATCTTTCTGAGCAGTAACTACTCAGAAAAAAAAAATAAAAACTGCACTCTATTCTACTGGCTCAATCAGTTATGATATTTATCACATCTACCAATACAAGTTGGGAACTATCCTAACAAACCGGTTAATTTGATAAATTTTCAGAAGTTTATAATATTTACAAATTTAGTGGTGATTGCGCATAATTTCCGATTATTATATATAATCACCAGTTTATTACTTTTACCGTAACAGATACATCACTATTAGAGCTTCCTTATGATCATAAATAAATTACGCGACTCAATTTATACAATGTATCTATCCCAAAAGTTTGTTCATTTGAATATCTTAAAGGTGAACAGGACAAAAAATACAATTGTTCCTTTGCCAAACGACG